AAAATTCATTTTTATGAAGAAGGTATAAATTTCCAATTCCAGCAAATAGTTTTTTTGCAGGAACTAGGTAACATCTGATAAATTTTTCAACTTTTTATCCCTTATAAACATTTATTATGAAAAGTCAATTTTAATCATTTATTAATTCAAAGATTAATTTGTAATGCATTTAATCTATACTATGACATTGACAAAGACTCGTAAAACAATCACAATTTGCACGTAAAACTTATTCAATATTACAAATTTGTGTAAATGGATTAATGACTCCGAACCACTAGATTATCACTCCTAAATTATTGGCGGTAACAGTTCTATCAATGACTTACTATTATTGGTGGCTATTAAAGTGGTAACAATAAATAATCGTTATTCTATATTGATAATCTATTGTACGCTTCGCGTAAATAATAATTTTTCTTAGCATACAAACAAGTCATTCTCTTCGAGAAGAAGAAAATATGCAAACGTTTTCAAGAGGAACAACTCTTAAATTTGTGCGTGACTGGACTAACTGATGCTTACGTCGGTCAGATCATAAAAATGTACGAAGAATGGGAATTATGATGATTAATTCGCATACATTTGCATCTTCTTCGCAAACATAGATTTTATAACTTGCAAATCATAGAAACAAAGACAATGACATTATTTTTTTGCCAAGAGTATTTTGCGTAACTACGTTTTAAATTTCTGAGTGAGATATTTCCGCATTATTACAAAGTTTTCTTTTCTTCATTACACAGTATTCACATTAATTTAACATAATTTCAAAATTATTTAAATCATCTGCAGTTTGTAATAATAAGCGAGGAAACAAAAAGTTAATAAAATTTTATGTATTTTGTTTATAATTTATTTATAAATTGAATTACTAATTTTCAAATTGTAAAAAAGCTAGCAAAATTAGAACCAATAAATTCTTATATTCTTTTTAAAGACAGTATACTATAAAATAATACATAACGATGATATAGCACACACTTGTGTTTGGAAAATGAGTCAAATACTTATCGTGACTTCACGTAGTGAAGTCATCTTTGCTGTGCACAGTTGTGGTAAATGACAACTTGATATTGATATTGGCAACTGAGCAAAGCAGCTTAAATCGTGTCAGTCTGTTTATTAATGAAACATCTAAAAAATCGATCTGTAGAGGAATTAAGTAAACTGCACTTCTCTTATGGAAAAATTTACTGGATTTTACTGGATTTAAAAAGCGATTAAAAAGTAATTGGAAAACCATTCGTATTTTAATATTATACACTATTCGTTCCAGTAGTTTATCCGCTAATCTAATAGTATTTTTCTGCAAAAGTAATGCTTGTTCACTGCATTATCCAGAAGACAAACTACAAAGAAGAGTGAAAAAACTTCATTAATAATTTATGATCTTAAAAGCTTGAATAACAATATTGCTCTATGTGATTTTCATGTTGTTGATTATTAATCTTTTATACTTAAAAAATTTTTTATACTTAAGAGATATATAACGTATGAATTAACATAATATATATTGTTACTACCGAGAATTAATTATTTTATTTAAATAATAACATAATAATAATCACGTTCCATATTTTATTTCTCACATACATGTTACGAGAAAAGTGACAAGAAACAACTTAATATTTTAAAACATTATCAGTGTTAATAGAATTATTTAGAAATATCGCATTAAGTATCACAATTTATATACTTAAAAGAGTAAAAATAGGAAAGACATAAAAAAATAACGTACTGACAAAAATGTATGAGCAGTAAAGTAATGAAAGCATTATTTTTATTTGTTCTCTGTAATTGTGCGCATTCTCATTTCTAAAATTTGCAGTAATAATCGATAATATGTTGCCATTTCATATTTAGACATACCTATCTTTTCCGAGAAAAGAAAGTAGATAATTTTATAACACTTTTTACATTTTTCATCAATTTATCTATTTTCTAAATATAGAAGATAATACAATAACATTTGCGAACGCATCGTGTCATAAAAGTTTAGTGAAATAACACTTTTGATGGTCACGCTGTGTTATTTATGGTTTATGAAAGGGTGAGAATGCATGGCACAGTCCAACTTGAAAAACCGACTGTTGCATACGAGACTAAATAATAACAACGTTAGTTGCGGTATTATTTATGACTCACCGAACTCTCGCGAATAAACGCCGCGTAAGCCAGTGGAAAACTGGAGTTTCGAATGCGTAACCAAGCGAAGCGATATTTTCTCAAGTATCGATTTTATATAAATGAGCACATATATATACATATTACTAATATAATTTAGCTGATCACGCTTTATCCGCATGCAAACCTTTTAAATCTCTAAGAATGTGCCGTTGACGGCAAAGTTGCCGCCCTGAGAGTGAAACTTTTTAGAACTTCACAGCGAGAAGCGGAGATTAGCCCTCGAGAGGTTTAGTTTCCG